TCTCTGGAGGTCCCTTCCAACCCCTACAATTCTGTGATTCTGTGATTACATAAGGTCTTCAGTTTTGGACACTCATTTGTTTGGTTTATTAGCTTCAATCCCAATCAACTTGTATTTGTCCTTAGAGTTAGCAAATTAGCTTTCTTCCTCAGATCGTTGCCACTGGTTTTCTTTTATTTACTCCTTTCCCTCTTTGTTGCCTTCCCCCCCACTTCCCTTTTTTGGGCCAGTGGGCCTGCTGTCTCCCTGTCATGGACGCAGACAGATCTAGAGACAACTCCATGACAGGGTGATTACTCAGCAAGATCATTACTGATCAATCTGGTGGCTTTCAATGATTGAGTGACGACATCAGTGGACAAAAGAAAAGCAACTGATATCATCTACGGCTGTGGGGACACCCCATTGTGGCCTTCCAATACTTGAAGGGAGTGTACAAACAGGAGGGGGAAAGACTGTTTACAAGGGTGGATAGCAATAGGACAAGGAGGAATGGTTATAAACTGAGACAGTGGGGTTTAGGTTAGATATTAGGAGGAAGTTTTTCTCACAGAGGGTAGTGACACACTAGAACAGGTTGCCCAAGGAGGTTCTGGATGCCCTCTCCCTGGAGGCATTCTAGGCCAGGCTGGACGTGGCTCTGGGCAGCCTGGTCTGGTGGTTGGTGACCTTGCTGATAGCAGGGGATTGAAACTAGACGATCATTGTGGTCCCTTTTCTAAGCCATTCTATGATTCTGTGATAATCGGGACAACTGCAAGGCCTTCGATATGAGACAGCTGGATCTGAAGAATGGATTCAGTGAGTAAGGAATTGCTTGGATGTTCTCAACCACAGGGTTGTGCTCAACAGCTCTATGTACAGCCGTGTACACAGAGCTAGAGACCAGTCATGAGTCGTGTCCCCCAGGGGCCTCTCTGCTATTCTACAGCTTTATCAGTGACACAGATAGTGGAACTGAGTGCACCCTCAGGAAGTTTGCTGACAACACCAAGCTGAGTAGTACAGTTCATACAAGACGGCATAAAGAAGGACCAGCACAAGCTTGAGAAGCGGGCCCTTGTGAACCTAACGAGATCCAAGATGTTGCACTTGGGGCAGGGCAATTCCAGGTATCAATACAGGCTGCAAAAACTCCTTGAGAGAAGCTCTTTGGAGAAGGACCTGGGAGTACTGGTTGAGGAAAAGTTTGGTGCAAACCAGCAGTGTGCAGTTTCACCCAGGAGGGTCAACTATATCCTGGGCTGCATCAAAAGAGGGGTAGCCAGCAGGAAAAGGGAGGTGACTGTCTCCCTCTGCTCTGCTCTCCTGAGGTCACACCTGAAGTACTGCATCCAGGTCTGGGATCCCACCATAAGAAAGATGTGGAGCTCTTGGAGTGGGTACAAAGTTGCTCAGAGGACTGAGGCATCTCTACTGTGAAGACAGGCTGAGGGACCTGCATGTGTTCAGACTGGAGAAGAGAAGGCTCTGGGGAGACCTCACTATGGCTTTCCAGAATTTAATGGAAACTTACAATTAAGACAGAGGCTTTTTACAAGGGTATATAGTGATCAAACAAAGGAAACAGTATTAAACTAAGAGAGTAGATTGGGATTAGGTGTTAGGAATAACACTCACATGGTGGTGAGTCGCTGGAGCAATCTGCCCAATGAAGCTGTGGATGCCTTATCCCTGGAGGTTTTCAAGGCCAGTGTGGTGGCATCCTGGGCAACCTGATCCAGTGGGTGGCTTGGAAGAGGGCTTGGAATTAAGCGGTCTTAAAGGTCCCTTAAAACCCAAGCCATTACATGATTCTATTACAGCAGTTCACACACCAAAGAGTCTGAACTCTTTGGTTCAGACTACAAGTGGTCTTCTCTTGCTTATTTTCTTAACATTCAGGTTACGTTCATAAGATTACTTACTTCAGATTGCTTTCTGCCAGCAGAAGTAAATGATGTTTTCTGAGATCCTAATCTGTTTCTCTGATTAGAAGCAGCTGCCAGATCAGGAAACTCCTCAGCATCCTAAACAAGAAACAGGACATTACATTTGTAACAACTATTATGTTCTTATTACTAAAACTGATTTTTCCAACATTCAAATGATTTTCTTTCTGGTTATCACTCATCACAGTTTGCTTCTATGTACAAAATTCAAAAGCTGAGTGCTGGACCACCAACTATAATCAATTCTACAGTAGTTAAGTCACCTAAACAGTAGTAACTAATTCAAGGCTAAAAGGACGAACCTAGAAAGAAAGGCTTCTAATGGTAGCTTGTTATTGCTATCAGCTGATACAAATAATCAGAAGTAAATGTCTCCTAAAGCAGTGTTTTTCAGATCATTTAACTGCCTTGCAAACAACTCTCCTCTTTTTCCAGTACAGTCTCCAGCTCTGCAACTCTACCTTAAACATGTTAGTGTTGAAAATCAAAACAACAGGTAAAAGGGTAATAAATCTTGACTACCAGTAGGGGAATAAACAGATAAATCAGTGAAGGGGTTGTGTTGGCTGAGTTACAAATGTATTTTATTAGCAGAGAATATGTTATCCACATTCTAGATTAATTAAGACACTAACAGACTGGAGCTCTCTCTATGCTGACCACCTTAAGTCCAGGAGAGCTTGCTAATTCAATCAGAATGACTCTGATCCACCAGCCTGGTTTTCATCCATTTGATTCTCCTCTCTCTTTCTAAGAGGCCTTGTTAGGCTTCTAGTAGTTACAATACTAATAAGCATACCACCTTTTCTTCTGAAGCCTGGAAGATTCAATTTAAACAGCCTGAGCTAGGACACCTATGAACAGGCATGTTCAGTCTGAGCAGATACTTCTAACTAAACAAAATATTTTTGAAAGAAGCTTGTAAGTAGGTCAAAAGAAGACTGTAAGAAAGGGGTTTCACAAATACATTCTTCCATCTTAGGGATTTCTGCAATCAGAAGTAGTATCTTTGGATTTAAATAGCCCTCATTAGAGCAAATAGTTATTTCAGTTTGTCCAAATCACTTCTTGAATTCACATACACTTCAGTCATTTGCAACATCCTGTAGTAAAGGGAATAGTTAAATTCTAGTACTCAGTGTGGCTTAATACCTCCTTCTATTTGTTCTTAACTTGGCACCTATAGGAGCAAGAGGACATCAAACAAAATAATGAGAACAAACACAAAAATTTCCTTTTTATCATCCAATTCCTTCTGAAACATCTATTTTACAGACAGAGAAGTCTTACTTTATTCATTTTTGCCTCCCACAGGAACTATTTCTACCTTTGATCATTTCTGGAGCCTTTCCTGTATCTCTCTTAGTTCAAATATGTGTTTTTTTTTAAGGAGAGCTGGCACGTAAGAAAGTAGAATCCACACTATATTTAGATCAGATCTGCCGTGGATTTGTATATCGTCCTAATGTTTTCAATTATATTTCATATTTTTTCTGATGATTCCTAACACTGTTTGCATATTGGACCAGTGCCTCTGAGCAGAGCTGCTTATCAGTAAGAGCTTCTCATTTCTTCCCTCAGCAAAAATACCTAGTTCAGAGCCAATCATTGTGTACAGGATTTCTTTTCTGCAAATGCATTACTTTTCACTCATTAGCAGGTTCTTAAAATTAGTGACTTCTATAAATCTAGTTAGCAATCCAATACACTGATCCAGTGAGCAGCTGCAAATACAAAATCCCAATTCTTAAAATCTCAAAGTCCACAGAAGTTATCTATGACTTTTCATGTTCTTCTGTTTCAAGAGCATCATAAGCATCTCACACATTTTTCATATTGATGAGCTTTTCCATCAAACCAGGAGGCTCTGAAAGCTGTTCCCAACTCCCCTCCCATTCGCTGCATCCAAATCACGGATTTCAATGTAACGTACATGCCCTGTTCTATGATTCTATGTTTATTTTTTTCATTTATGTCTTCAATAAGACATGACATTTCTACTAACTTCTACCATTCTTGCCATTCTTTCTCTTTAGATACTAAGCCACTCACAGACCCGATATCCTGCAGAACAGAACCTGTAGATCTTGATTCTATCCACAATTCAATAATGAATCCCCATTTCAGGACAATGAATTACACACTCCAAGTTAAAATGTACACAACAGAAGTCAGCCAGGAATGGCTTTTTTATGCTATTCTTTCACAGACTGAATATAATGTACACTAAATCAAACACAAAAATCAACACATTCTCATACTCTTACTCAATATTGCTGTTACAATGAAACATAGTTAAACCACAGATCACACAACAATTCTGTAAGGTGGGAGAGCCTAAAGCATTTTTGAAACTGATTCACAAAAGCATCAAAACACTAATGTGTATATTACAGCTACATGAATATGAAAAAGATTTGAATAAATAATCAGGAATATAAACAGTGACATCTACATTTCATAAGAATTGTTTCCAGACTGAGATCACAAAATCACAGAATGGCCTGTGTTGGAAGGGATCCCAAGGATCACGAATCTTCAACCCCCCTGCCATGGGCAGAGCCACCAACCTCCACATTTAATACTAGACCAGGCTGCCCAGGGCCCCATCCAACCTGGCCTTGAATACCTCTAGGGATGGGACACCCAGAACCTTCCTGGGCAGCCTGTTCCAGCACCTCTCCACTCTCTGTAAAGAATTTCCCCCTGATATCCAACCTAAATCTTCCCTCCCTGAACTTAAAACCATTTCCCCTTATCCTGCTGTTATCTACCCTTTCAAAGAGCTGATTCCCTTCCTGTTTATAGGCCCACTTTAGGTACTCTGTCTTTCTTGTACGTGGGGCTCCAGTCCTGGACACAGTATTCCAGATGGGGCCTCACAAGAGCAGAGCAGACGGCACAATCACCTCCCTGTTCCTGCTGTCCACCCCTCTTCTCATAGAGCCCAGGATACCATTTGCTTTTTGAGCTGCAAGAGCACACTGCTGGCTCATGTTAAATTTTTCATCCATCATGACCCCCAGGTCCTCCTCTGCAAGGCTACTCACAAGGATCGCTCTTTCCAGCCTGTATAAATGCCTTGGATTCCTTTGGCCCAAGAGCAAAACCTTGCACTTTGCTCTGTTGAACCTCGTTAGATTCACCTGAGCCCACCTTTCAAGTCTGTTGAGGACCCTGTGAATGATATCCCTTCCTTCCACTGTATTACCAGTACCACATTCTTTAAAATTTTGGCACCCTATGGTATCCAGTATACTTCCCATTCTTTGTGCACTTTGCTTTACAAAACCATTACTACAGAATATTTTTCACTTGGTAAATCTTTTTTGGAACTTGTTAATACCCAGATTTAACAGTCTCTCCTGCAGGAATTCATATACTCATTCAAGCCTTAATAAATTAAAAGGCAGAACTGTTTCCTACCTCTAACTTCTAACAGGAATCTTAACTGAAATGGGCCTGACCCAATTTCCTCTACTAATAACATGTGATATTAAATTTACAGAAACTTCTGGTCTTCCAATACATACTCATCACACTAAAAAAACCTCACTGCTGTACCTCAATCCTCGGCGGTTCCTGCACTGTAGTAGATTCATTATAAGGCTTCTCTACATCAGCAGGTGACTTGCTCTTCTTTTTCTTTTTCTTTTTCTTCTTTTTCTTCTTCTTTTCTGACCCTTCTTCAAGCTCAGTTTCACTACCATAATTTTTTATTTCTGCCTGTTGACAAAAATCATGAGGTATGACCATTAGAAATTGATTTCTTTTATTATCACCTACCAACAAAAACACAAGTGATCACACTTACACAATGCACCTAGTCAGCATGCATCAATCCACGCTAGGATATTAAGCAACTAGGAAAATCCAAGATTTCTTAGAAATTCAGAGGTACTGCAAGATCTCTTCATGTGAACTGACAACTGTCAGAATATAATACGAGATTTCACTAGGCAATATTCACGCAGGAATGACAAGATTTCCATGCTTTGTGCCTGATTTAGAAATTGAAAATTTCAACAAACTCCTGCCTAAATGAAGTGTATTCAAATCAACTACTTTGGAAGTTTGTGTTGCAGGAATTACATTGACTTTCTGATACATTGTTGTTCTTTTTTCTTTTGCCACAACAGAAGAAAAATTATAATAATGACAAGGTAACTTTATATTACTTATTAAAAGTTACATTAGAAGTAGTACAGAGTCTAAGAAAGAGTAGCATTGTTTCACGTCAAGAAACAGTACTGAACAGTACCAGAAATTAGTTTCAAGAGCACAGTTGCCAATTACCTTTGCTTGACTGTCCTGCTTCCCTTCGTATCTGGGGAGACATTCAGATGCTGGTGATGAAAAAGTTTTCTTTGGGGACTGTGAAAGTACCATGGCCCAGGACACATGCGGCTGAGCAGAGCCATCTGTAGATGTTCCAGGAAATACTGATGTGGAAAAACAAGTGATATCCAAAGATGTCAGAAAATATTTCTCAAATATTCAGAAGACATAGGATCAACACAGGATTTATCAAGGACTCGCAAATGCAGAGCAAAGCTATACTTTTTTCTGAGGAAAAACTAAATTAAGTTGCTTAATTACACATTATATTCTATTTCACCTACTGGCCAGTGTTATATGCATATATTTAATACACACGCTATAATTTGAAATTATACTGTCACATAACCTACATAATTCCATGCTTATTCTCTAACCTATTTTTCTTTAAAATTATGAACTTGTATTGCATTTATATACTAAATTCCTTTACTGTAACTTACATAGCTTTGAATACAAGGTTATATCTACATCATCTACATTCTAAAAACCTTCCAGCTTGTAGATACATAAAAACAAGCTAAAAAGTCTCCTCATGTGCCTCAATGTACAGCACTTTCACCCACCAGCACTTGGTGGAATCAGCGTTCTGGAAGAATTACTCATTCCATTCTGTAAATATTCCTAACACATAAAAAATACACAGCTTCAACAAAAAACAAAAAACTTGCCAATGAGAGATCAAAGAAGTTTATTGGGTTTATGTGGCAAGGTTTTGGTAGTAGGGGGGTTGTACAGATGGTCTCTGTGAGAAGTCAGGGGCTGCTCCAGAGCTAGTTCCAGCTAGGGTAATGTTTTTAAGAAAGGGTAAAAAAAAAATAAAAATGCTGCGCAGCAACTGTGATAGACTGGGTGAGAAAACTGTGAAAGAAACAGCCCTGCAGACATCAGGTCAGAGAAAAAGGAGAGGTGGAGGTGCTCCAAGTGCTGGAGTAGACATTCCCTGCAGCCTGTAGTAAAATTCCTCTGCTGTCTATGGAAGACCCCACAGGACATGGGGTGGCCATGCCCTAAAGGAAGCTACAGCCTGTGGGGAACTCACACTTCAGCTTACTAATGGCAGGAGCTGCAGCTCATGTGGGACATACCACATCAGTCTGTCCATGAAGGACTCTACCCTATAGAGAGAACCCATGCTTGAACAGTTATTTAAGAACTGCCTGGCAAGGACCCACACTGGTGCAACTCCTGAAGGACCATCTGCCTCGAGACTTCATACTAAACCAGTACAAAGTGGAACAAGGGAGATGTGGCAAATTGAAATTGATATCAATAGACCACAGCTCCCATTCTACATCTCACTGTGCTGCTCAAGGTGGGGAGAAGGTAGAAAATTTGGGAGAGGCCAAGCCTGTGAAGAAGGTGAGGTTGAGGAAGGTGCTTTTAGTTTTGTGTTTTGGACCATCCTACTTTAATTAGCAATAAATAAATCTTCTCTGAATTGGGTCTGTTTTGCCCACGATGGTAAAGAAATAAGATATGCCACAGAATAAAAAAGTATATACTAATTCTAAAATAACAGCTATTTAATTACCATGATGGTAAGCAGTAAGTAATCTCTCTGTCTTTACTTTGATTCCCAAGTATTTTCACCTTATTTCTTCCCCCTGTCCTCTTAAGGAAGGTAAAAGCAGCCTGGTTGACAACTGAGGTTAACCCATCAAAAGAAGCTACATGGGTGTCACGGGATTCCAGGGTTGCAGCCTGAACCAATACATAAGCACGTGAGTGTCTGGAGCAGGGGGGAGCTCATCACCCTTTCTCTCTCGGCAACGCTTCCAGGAGTGCTTGTGCAGTCTGAGTCTGCACAGGTTCCCCTTCCTTTCCCGCCTTTCTCAGGCGGTGCAAGAGTATGAACGGGGAAGGCTGCATTCCTCAGCTCGCCCTTTCTTCCAGCTGTTACTGGGAGGGGTGAGTTAATTCCTCTTTGATATCTTTTCCTATAGCGCCTATTTCTCAAATAAAGGCTCTGTCAAAACCTTAGTCTGCTCTACAGTCGGGTACAAACTGAAGACTCTACTTGTGGAAAAAATGTTATCAGATAACTTCACAGTTACTGGAATAAGAATGCAAAATTCTTACACAATTTTGGAAGAACAAAGAAGTACATACTAGACTCTAGACTGAGAGCTATTTTTTTTTTAAATTGCTTATCAAGACTGATCATATTTGCTCAGATTTATTGTTGAAAAAACACCTCAACAGACTTCCAGGAATCAATTTGTATTATTTCCTCTCCTAATAAACAGCACAGGAGGCACCCACAGAAACATTAGTCCTTCAGCATCAACGAGACAAAAGAAAGAGTTTTGATCTAGTAACAAAATCTATATGCAAGAATATAATCTCATTTGGAAGAAATGATACAAACTTATTTTTCTTACTTCGTAGTGAGTTTGCTCTTTGATTTCATATATATTTGAGAGTTCAGCAGCTCTTGACAATACTTTATTATTCCAAATTGATGAGATACAAGCAGTTCAAATATGAGGAAACCATTTATGTTAGCAGTACTTACCTCTACCATCAAATGAAGAGGGAATTAAGCTTGCTACTGTTTCTTTTAAAGTTTTTGATGAGGCTTTGCTTTCCACAGAATCGGCTTCCTGTAAAATTGAGGGTCAGGTATCACAGAGGTATGAATAAAAAGCACTTGCCTCAAGAAAGCTAAACATTAAAAAGAAGAAATAACAAAATCCTCAACCTACATGGACAAAAGGCATACAGAATTTTGTAGCCCACTTTTTTTTTTTTGTTACTATTCTTAGTGGAAACATCATTTGGTCCCTATTGTATTTTAAAATATAAGCAAATGCCTCTCTGCTGTTGTCCAAGCAAGATGCTTACTTACATTTAACAAAAGCGTCCAAACGACGACTCTAAGAATGAACAAGAAAAGGTTTTAACACTGAAAACTACATCCACCCATTAAGTTCAAGCTAGCAATGGAAAAAAGACATAGCAAAATTCATTTTTGCCACCACAAGCAGTTTTTCACTTATAGGTACCAGAAGTCTTATGCTATTTTTATCCTTCAAAATTATTTACCTCTAACCACTGTTGAAAACTCTGATTCAGCGTATGTGACAAACACCTAAATCTGTCAGTACTGCATTTAACAACAACTGCAAAATTAGGAATATGAAAATCTACAAGAATGTTAAGCAATCTTTACATATTAACAATATTTTTCCTCCTTCTAGAATTCACTTTCTAATTTTTCCTCTTTTAGCACAAAGTAACAATTACATACATATATATGTTTTTAAACAAGTTAAAACTTTTCTCTAAATAGCTGCATGCTTATTATTTAAGGGTGAGAGAAAACACAAGCTGTCAAGAAACCTCAGGGAACACATGTGCTCTGTATATACAAGCCAGAAGTTTAGATCATAGCAGTACCAAACTAAATGTGACAGAGCTTGGTTTTCCCAAGCAGCACAGAGAAGGAAGTAATAATGAGAAAAAGAAGTGAGCACAAGCATTAATGCCTCCATCTACAAGAAAAAGCATAAAACCTATAGCTATGAAACTTCCTGCTTGCAAGCTACTTAAGCAGGTATTAACATGCTGAATGCAAAAATAGTTTCTTGAGCTTTGAAAAGAAAAGAATTTTTATGAGTTCTACAACATGAAAGCATGGCTAACCTCTGTGTTCAACAAAGGAGACACCTGTGGTTGACTAAGGCACATAATGTTACTTTCCACTGAACATGCTTGTCCATTTTTATGATGCACATTCAACATCTCACTGCTTCCCAAACTCTGCAACTTGTGGAAATCCAAAATAGTAGTTTCAAATGCAGGAAAAGACTCTATTTTTGGAGCTTGAGTTGACTTCTTGCTTGCAGTTTTATTGAACCTGTCTGAATAAAGCAAGTACAGTCCAAAAAATAAAACTTGCTTGCAGTCATTTCTGTACAAGTCTTAAAGCACACCAGTGACACAGTCACAGCAATAGTCACAAGAATTATTGCTATAAATACCTGACATGACAGAAAAAAAACAGAACAAAAAAATCTAGTGATTATAACCAATGTGTTTAGACAATACCAAATTGACAACCAAATGTAAATTCAGATACTTTCTGAGGAATATTTTTGTTTCAATTTTGCTCATGCAACCACCAAACAATTTACTGCTATCATCCATTGTCAAAAAGTCACACAGTAAAAAATATTCTGTTTTTTAACTATTCTAGATGTAGCAACACAATCACAAACTGGAAGTTACAGTACAGACTATTTTATGGATATGCTATGTATTTCAAACCAAATAGCACATTAGTTATACACATTATAATAGCAACAGTACCTGGCTTCATGGAATCTTTGCTGCCTGCAGAGGTCTGTAATGCAGCCCGTTTCACAATTCTGACAGAAGAATCCTGTCCATCTTGCTTTTTCTTGTCTGATTTCTTTCCATCGTCCTTTGCTTTCCTCTGCTGCAAGTATTTGTTAATACATATATTTAGTTAATTTTATTTTAACTTTGTAAAAATCTTCAAGCATTCCATGCACTACAGTCAACTAACTACATATCTGGAGTTTGAAGATACATAATGAATTCTATACCACAACCACATATAACCAACAAAACCAGAACCAAAAACCCATAAAAAACCATAAAAACTGTAAAAAAAACAAAAGTCAGTTAGAGGTCTGTTACTGTATTTTATTTTCCTTGTTAAATGTGCTACCTGTGTCACATATTACATACACTCAAGAGGGATTATTCCACATTTCTATGCAACTACACATTTAAGATCCTATTATTGACAGCATTATCAATAGTTTATAACCAGCTGGACTTAAATTGTCCAGTTCTTATTTTCTGCAACTGAGTTTCTTCTAGAAAAGAGCTAAAATTCTAAAAGCATTCCAAGTTTTTTACTAAGCTAAGTTACAATCAAAACAAGATTGTTGTAATAACACAGCAAACATACACAGCAAACAGAGTGTAATTAGAAAAGCTATATGTACATGTTCCCAATAAAGCAAATATTCACCTATACTACACAGAAGTCCTGAAGCCTCATGATTCTTGCAAGGAACACTCTTTGGCAGAATTGGGCTGACGAATCAGAGAGGCAGGCAAGCAACAGGCATCCATGCAAAGTATGCTGCATCAAACTAGACACATGGCTTAAATCTGTTCAGAGGATTTGGAATTAAATTCTAAGTACATCCAGGAGCAACACTATTTTCTGGAGTGGGAGGATACTCCATGGCCTGGAAAGCTGTATTATTAAAGCCCCAGGAGATGTGACCAAATTAGTGCAAAGCCACCAAGTTCTAGTTCTCTCTTAAAGACCCCAAAAGGTAAATTTCAAGTGCCAAAAAGACCATCAAACAGTACTCAGCTCAGCCTGGGTTTACTTAGACCACAGAACTGCCTCCCCTCTAAAAACCACTGAAGATTTTTGTTGAACATCGGTTTCTCTTTTGACTGAGGGTACTTCTAATGTGAGCCTTTATTCCCTCTCCACTCCAATATGTTCCTGCTCTCATTTGGATTGTTTTCTGCAGCAGGCTTTGGAAATGTCTGAACAATAAATGCGGTCCGATCACTTAATGGCCATACAACTGATCACAGCCGTCAATTCTATATAATTTATGCTTGTGGAGGCTGCTGCTACTGTGCTCTAAAAAAAGCACCAAACTCCAGCAGCAAATGAAGGAAAGCATGGTTCACAAACATAATATGGTTTTGTTTTTTTTCACCTAAGTGCTGCTTTATGAGGAAAAACAACACATTCCTCTTATGTTCCAAAAACATTTTTTGGAAAACTGTACTAACTGTAGAATGTGATTAACTTTTTTGAAATCTGAAGTTGGCCTCATTAATACCCCATTAATACCATCATCCTCTTTAAGCACTGCTCATTATTCCTACACAAAGAGTGATTAGTCACTTCAAAAATGAACAAAGCATTCAGACTACTTTAAAGTAAGAATTTAATTTTTTTAAAAGTGTGTTCGCTCACCTTTAAAAGACTCTTACTTTCTTGTCTGATTGGATACTTTTGTTCTGCAGATTCACTGACTATTCTGGAATCATTACAGTATGTTGACCCATTTGAATGATACTGTGAGGCAGCTACTGGATTTGTATTTGAAACAACATCAGGTGAGCAAAAGCTGCTGGAGTATTCATTTAATGCAGGATCTCCCACAACACTAAGTGATGGACATTGAGAAAGAGATTGAGAGGTCATCCCCAGGCAAATCTTCAGCATATAGTCATTGCCTACATAAATATATCATTCCTTAGCTGAAGAATTTGTTTAACAAGAAAGCTATGTTCCAAATGAAGAGTATTTCATGTTATTTCAACCAACTATTTACTCACTGCCATATGTTCTTTAAAAAATAATGTATTTTGTTTCGGATAAAATATGCAGTTTGTAGCAAATACTTAAAAATACAGATGTTATGTGCTTCAAGTTGCAAACCTAGTCTACTTAAGAGTTATAGCCCTCATTTCTGTTGAAGGTTGCTAACTTTCTTCACATGTATTTTTGTTAGGCTTTTTCTTGTGAAACAAACCAAAAGCACAGTAGAACTACATAAGATGCATTATGCATTTGACTAATAAAAACACAGACACTGAACAGTGAAACCCATCTCAAGATGTCATAACAACAAAGTAGGAGCATCTTACGGGGACATAAAGCATGTGTGAAATACAATACAAAATTGTTACAGCCAGTAAATGGACTGCAGTTAACCGTAATACTGATGAAAGCACAACATGTTTTCAGTGACGTGTCTGTGGCATGCCTTTCCTTCAATTGTGAACTTCAAAGTTTCCTTCCAATTTCACTCTATACTTTCTGCAGAAACTGTACACTGAGATCCATATTTGATAAGGGAGATCTGGTAGACAGCTCAGCACCACACAGCTATTCATTCACTTCCTCACAATGGGATGGAGAAAGAATTCAAGGAAAAGAAAAGTAAAAACCTATGCGTTGACATAAAAATAGATTAATAGTAAAGAAAAGTGAGGGAAAAAGAAAGCTGCATCCAAAGTTGTTCAGCACAAAATGGACAACATCTCAACCTCAGGTCTGTAATAAAAAAGTGAAAAATGTCCCACCAGAACAAGATGCTTCTGCAATTCTGAAAGATTGTAGTCAAAACAACTGTTATAATCAGTTTACAAAAAAAAATAATACATCTGAGTCACAATAGAAACTACAGCTCAGCGCCAAATGGGCAAAACGCTCATGAGAATACTACTTCTGTCCCTGATCTTTCTAATGCTAAAAAATACCTTATGTGAGACCATACTCATCTCATTGCTAAACACATATTACACATAAAAATGGGTTGAAGTAATCCCTGTAAATAAAATGGCTGACATACTAAGAAAGCCTAGAATGAATATGTTCTCTAGGGCTCTAAATGAACTTTTTAAGGACATAACAGTAATTTTGCAGTAATTCCAAAGTCAATTCAATGTTCAGAGTTCTACTAACCTGAGAAGCAACTGGAGAGCTAAATCACATAAAAAAATTATTACAGTATTCAATTATTTCCTATCCCAGTATGTGGGCTTTCTTCTAGGCTGCTTTGGGCTTAACAATCCAATTATAAATCTATTATGAAAGCCTGTTTTTCAGGCCTCATTAGAAAAATACTTCAAGAAGCCTCTTATGTTCTAAGTCTTACTTTCCTGGGACATGGAGGTTGTGAAAAGGAGATTGAGGAGTAATCTCATACATTCATGGTAGGAAAAACACTCCTGGAGGATTGTTGTCCCTCTTCCTTCTTACTTGATTCTGTTTGTTTCAGCTTTGTCATAACACAACCATTCTTTCACTCAAGAACAAGATTCAGCTCTTTTGAAAGCACAAAATGGCCAGAATAATCATTATAATCAAGCTGTATTTAATAGTCCATGCATGAGCTTTAATAGTCCAATATGGGCCTTCGGAAACAAGAGGTGAGATACTGATATACACCTGAAGAATAGAAATGTAGAAATCTAAATCTTGAGGACAAGGGCAAGAATGTATTTGGTCAGAATATTAACATATCAGAGCTTTGACTTTCTGAGAGTAATCAATGTCCAAAACTGGAATGTTAAAATCCCCCAAGAAATAAGGTTCAGAAAATATACATACTTATCCAAAGATGGTTCCTGAGCAAATGTGTAGCCTGTAGTTAAGTACCTAGGAAAGACACATGCTGCTGAGGGTTCTGACCATGCCACAGTTACCGCTGCATATTTTGGAACAAATGGTTTGACCTCTGCTGACAACTCGATGCCCTGAGAAACAAAAGGTTTTTTGGCTACATGCATTTTGAGATTAATATTCTAAGTGAAAAATATACTTACCCTGTGAGCACAACCCTCATAGAAAAGTTTGCTCTCTTCCAGCAGAACACGAAAAGCAAAGCTCACCAAAAAGAAAGAAGCAAAACCAAGGAACCCTAAGCAAAACATGGCTTCTCTGGAAAACCATTTCCTTTAATATCCACATCTAACATGTAATACTTGTAAAAGTAATGACTTTTACGCAGAGTAACAGAATATGCAGTAAGCACTAGTACACAAACTCTCAGTTTAGATTCAAACAACGTGATCTAAAACTCACAGTGTGACTAACACTGCCATAACATCTGACTCTGCGAGTACATATTAATAATAAAGGCTTTGTGTACACTTGTATTTGAAATTAGTCTGTGTGGAAAAATGCTTAATTATAAAGCATTCTCATTTTTTAAATGGTGTAAATCCACTATGGCAGATTTTCCATTTGTTCTGAAGTACCACTGAATTTAAACTGGATAGGCATATGTAGCAGCACTGAGATAAAGGTCAGTATACTCGCTGCCATTACAGCATCACATGGCTTTTATTCACTGCAATAAATGCAACAGGTCATTAGCCACTTGTGTATTTCTGGGTTAAACAGCATGCTGTATGAACACTGAGGTCCTTTTCACTTGCCAAGGCCAATTTCAGTAACTAAATAACACAGTAATCTTGAAAACACTTGAACAGTAGTTCCAACGTTTAGGCATATATACTGGGCTCGCTGCTCCTTCTGGTTGCTGCACTGACTTCATCACAAACACGTAAGGCACTCTGACAGACTAAAGAAGAATAGAAGGAGCTGCAAACTCCTCCACTCCTGAACCTACTGACAGTCCCAACTACACGCTGAGCTGCCACTTCAACAGTGGGAAATAGAATGTGTATTCCACACAGTAAGCATGTAACAAACACACAGGTGTGTAACTATACAGAAAGTACGCAGGGAAGGAAACTGGGATCGGTTATTTGGGGTTGGCCCCCAGACGGCAGCGCAGCACACCGCGGGCACAAGCCGCGGCCGCAGGCGGGGCTCACCCGGTCCCCTGCGAGTACCTCCGGCAGGGACACAGCCGCCGGGCAACAGTGCGTCTCCAGGCCCCCGAGGCGCACCGCCTATGCGCTCGGCCCGGCCCAGCCCCGCCGGGAACTTCCACCACGCAGCGGCCAACACAGAGCGGCGAGCGACCTGCGAGCCGCGCCTCGTCCCCCTCCCGGCTCCAGGCCTCATCGGGCCTTCAGTCATCTTTGCTGACGCGCCGGGCTTGCGATCCCCGCAAGCGGGTGGGTGCGGGGCCATGGACCGGGGCGACCACTCCACGCAACAAGCCGGGGACACGCGGGGCTGGCGCCGCACTCACCTCGCTGCCTCGGCCAGGGCGCCTCTCCGCGAACATGGCGAGCTTCGTCCCGCCAGTCCGCTCGCCCCGCGACGCCGCGCCCGGGCCTACGGCGCGCCGCGATGACGTCCGTCCAACGGCGCGCACGGGGTCGAACGGGCACGAACAGGGAAGTAGGAGGTTCCGCCTGAACGTGAGAAAAAATTACTTTGCGGATGAGTCACCACGGGAACAAGCTCCCCGGAAGGGTTGTGGAGGCTCCTGTGTAAATATTCAAGACCGTCCGGGCACTTTAATGCATAACGTACTGTAGGGAGCCTGCCTTAGCAGGGGGTGGGTCCTCCAGAAGCCCCTGCCAAACCTCTACGGTTCTGTAATTCACCTAGTTAAAGTTTCTCCATAAGGTAATTTGCTTTGTCTGGTGAATTAGATCTCTATAGGGGTTTAGATTTCATAGAGCACAACAAGCAGGGTTTATTTCTTTATGCCTAGCGGTGAACTGCCTTTGAGCATGCAACATTTTAGCAGAAAAGTCAAGTGCAAAGTTACATGCAGGATTAAAAAAAAATGACTCAAAGCATACAATAGTAAACTTTATTAAAGAGAACTCATTTCAGACAAAGAGACATTAAAAATTAAATTCCACTTCTCTTTGAAAGAATAGCAGCCTAATAGAAATTGTATTTGACTGAGCTTTGTTGCTGTGAATAATACAGCTCATGCACAGGTACAGTTGTATGTTTTGTACATAAAAGTATTCACTGAATACTACCAACATATATACATGCATACACAAAGTTCCAGAAGATTGAGAATATTTTTAGACAGTAGTTCATTTCTGATCATCTTTTGGAAGAGGTCTTCTAAAGAGAAGAATGTGTGGCTCTGTGGGAATAAAATTGAACAAAGTGTCAGTCTGTTCTCTAAGCCTTGATGAGAAGCATTTCATCAATTCAGTGAGGCCTGAACAGTACCACTGAATAAGAAATGGATAAATCAAGCCCACAATTGTCCTCAAGTGTAGGATTTACAGACCAATTCTACAGTAACCTTAGAGGTCACAAACATGTAACTTAAAATTTATACCAAAGGTTGACAGTATAATAAACTTATAAAGGAAGTACAGCAAATATGGGAATTAACACTCTCTCTTCATTGCATTATTTTAATTACTCAGTATATGAGTATAACAGTATAAGAAACTGCTGATGCTGTTCTTGTGAGGTATGTACTATCAAACATCAACAAAAGCCATTTCAGTTAATTAGCTAGCTTCAGTTAGTACTGACCTGACTCAACTGCAAACCCTTCCAAAAAAATCCCATTCAAAAATATCAAAGGTATCCAGGTAAGAGAAGTTTTGAAAGGGTAGACTAGTTTCTTCATCATTTTTTTGGAAATTTGGAATTTCATGAGGTTGGCTTTAATTCAGCCTAATTAACAAGTACCAGGTATGGCTATTTTAGTACACAATGATAGAGAGGTTTAAGGTCTTTGTAATCTTTTAATTGAAAGGCTGTATTTAGTAGACAACTACTAGTCCTAAAACTATATCATGGATTTTTCAGAACATTAGTGCAGGACATGGTCTACGTGAGCATCTGCTGGGTTTTTCTACTAAGCAGGTGTACCAGGTACATTACATAGAAATATGCTGCTATATGAAGTTTTCCTCAGCCACTGATATTCTAACATCGTACTTATATGATGTCACAAAAAACCTATTGCAGAGGCAGAGTACAAACAAGTTTGAACAAGATGCTCTTTAAGGTCCCTTCTGAAGTACTCTACAACTTTGATTTGTCAGTATGCAGAGAAAGCATGAACCTAGAACCAAACTAGCATTTTCCAATCAGTTCCAAGACTCAGAGGTGAAATTTACACACAAAAAAATCTCCGGTGTTGCTTATGTTGCTACCTAACCTAAATAACAAGGAGCTGACAAAAGAAATCAAAAACAATGAAAACAATTAGAAGCAAATTCGACAGCAGGAGCAACTACTCATCTTCATACTTCAGTTGAGTACCAGTCTTGGATATTTTAAGTAATTTTTTTTTTTTTAATATATTTTAGACTCTTTTTTTCCATCAGTCTTATTCATCTGTATTTACCTGGTTTGTGGATCATATAATGAACCCATCCAAGACTTTGCTGAACTCCAAGGCTTCTCCATTCCTCTTCAGACAGAAGATGAGTTTTTGGCATTCGTTTTAAGAGTTCTCTTGGCAGCATTACATGCCTGTAGATTAGTAATTAACATATTACACCCTAGATATCTTGCACAGGTCTCTGCTAAAAGATATTAAGCAAGTCCATTTATGATTACCAGCATTCCCTAAAAACTTCTTTACTATGAGAGTGGTGAGGTGCTGGAACAGGCTGCCCAGAGAGGTTGTGGAAGGCCCTAGAGGTGTTCAAGGCCAGATTGGATGGTGCCCCGAGCAGCCTGGTCTAGTATTAAAAGGGGAGGTTGGTGGCCCTGTATGTGGCAGGGGGGTTGGAGACTCATGATCCTTGAGGGCCCTTCCAACACAGGCCATTCCAGAAAGAATCCTAGGGTGCTCTTGGATACCAGCAATTATGGAACATCAATTCCAAAACTCAATTTTAAATGTGCAATTGTATATTGAGACAGCAAACATCCTAAAAGAGGTTAAATCCCCTGCATGCTCTAATTACGGTACTCATACTTAAGGATGTGTTACTAGCAATTGTCCGTGATAAAAACAATTCAAAAAAAAAAAAACTAAACAGTGACCCCACACATTTCTAATGCATTGAGAAAGTCACTCTTGTTTGTATTTTGTAGTGAATATATTCTCTATAGAGATTATGGTGCTAGTTTTTAAAGACTAATACCACTTACACTAAAACACTACTAAACACTACTAAAAGACTAATACCACTTAGGAACCTGAGGTAAGAAACCTAAGACCCTCTTTCCACATTTGCAAGTTCCTTTATCATAAAAAAGGTGTTCCATCTCGTTTCTGAGGTCAAATAACTATGAAGAGTTAGCAGGAGACAGGTACTCAGGCTCCACGTAGCAAAAACAGTTCTTGCAGTTTGCAGTAGTGCAAACTGAAAAAAAGAACATCTAGAAAACTGTAAACAGTACTGGTAAATGAACTGCAGAACTAACTAGCACTATTGCAGACCCTTGAAAACCAGCAGGTAGAGTACTGTCTGAAGGACTTCATAAAGTGCATCTATCAGCACTACACTTCGAAACGGACATAAGAAATGTTTCCGCTGAGGACTCAGCTGGTGAGCGGCAGCGAGAGCCTACCCTGCCTGCGCGGGAAAGAGACCGGCCGAGAGCACCGTTTCCCGTCTGGGCGAAAGCCGAAAGGAATCCTAGGGCGAGAGAGCGAGGCGCTACCTCCAGACTTCAGCCCATCTACCTCCATAGAGACCACAGACAGAGCTTTATCCTCGAAGAAAACAGGAGCGCCGGGCAACAGCCTCGGGGCAGCCAGCAGAACTCCCTCCCTCTTCCCTGAGCCCGTGCTCCGAAGCTGTTTCGTACCGGTACTCGTATTGCTCGTCAAAGTACTTTTCGGAGTAGTAGATATCCTTGTGAGCCATGGCGAAAAGCAGCAGAACTCTAGGCGCGATATGATGTACTCACGAACCCCCTAACGAGTAACTGCCAGGCTCGAGCCCGCTCCGTTTGAATCTATCGGCTCTATTGACTATTGGTCTGCTGGCATAGCCAATGACGACCATCAGGCACTTTTCATGTCCCGCCCTCACGCCGACCCACCAATCATTGGAAGACGCAGAGTAAAAGTGCGGACAGCCGGGAGAGGAGGAAGGCGGGGCCTGGGCCGGGGCGCGCCGCCGGAGCAGCGCAGTGATTGGCCGGTGAAGTGGTTGGCTGGTTCCAGTACGTTCTGGAGCGGATGGGGTAGGGAGGTTGTGGCGGTTGTTGGTTGCTAGTTGCTAGTCGCTAGTCCCTAGTCCCGTGCCAGTCTCGTTGACTGCCGTCCGGTAAACTTCCTAGCGTGTGGGGGCGGCTTCCTTATGACGGGCAACGGGTGGAGGCTCCTCCTACCGCCTCCAAGTTTAAGTTTAATGTGTAGCGCACTCGGGATCTGGCAGGTGCTGTGTCCTGCGTCATGGAATCAAGCAGCGGGTTGGAAGGGACCTCAACGACAACCTAGTTCAAGCCCCTGCTACAGGCAGAGTTACCATCCACTAGATCACGCTCTAGATCAGGCTTCCAGAGTCCCATCCAGCTTGGTCTTGAACACCCTCAGGGACAGAGCATCCACAGCTTCTCTGGGCAGCCTGTGGTAGTACTTCATCACTCTGTCTTTTGAAAAATGTACCCCTGACATCTAATCTAAATTTTCCCTTGTATCCTGAAACCATTTCCTCTTCTCCTTTGACTATAAACCCGTGTAAAAAGTTGATCTCCCTTCTCTTTATAAATCTCCCATTAAATATTGGAAAGCTGTAATGAGGCCTCTCCCAGAGCCTTCTCTTCTGCAGGCCAAACAAGCCCAGTTCCTTCAGCCTGTCTTCACAGCGAAGGTGCACCAGTCCTCTTATCAACTTCATAGCCTCCTCTGGACTTCCTTCAACAGCTGTTCATCATTCTTGTACTGGGTGCCTGGAATCTGCACATTGGTATTCCAGAATGAGCCTCGTGAGGGCAATGTAGACAGGGAGAATTACTTCCCTCACCCTGCTGACCACCCTTCTTTTGATGCAGCCCAGGATGCAGCTGGCTTTCTGGGCTGCAAGAGCAGACTGCACTTCACAGCTGCACGCAATCCCATCATCAATATAATTGATAAAGATGTTAAAGAGGAATTGTCACAATACAGACCCCTAGGGTACATAACTTTGTACTCAGTTTTTGATTGTGAAATGCTCTGCTCACTGGCCTTACCAGGTCATTGTTCCTGTACATGGTACAGCACGTTACTTGTACAGGAAAATAATTGATTTCCAGGGAGTTTTTATTGCAGCACTGGGAATTCCTGAGATACCCTTTTGTTCTTCACTTTGCTGCTTCTGCTTTGGCCTGAGGACAGTGCTCACAGCTCAGGCCCAGAGTGCAGTAACAAACATCAGGTGCAGATGCATTTATGTACCAATCTGCAAGCCTTCTTATGCAGAAAACTAACACAGTAAATATTTTCATAGTAAAATACTAGCAGCAAGTTCCCAGAATCTGAAAGGTAATGAGAGATGAGTTATTTTTTTCAGTATGTAAAAAGTGAATACTGTGTTTTCCCACTCGAGTTATTTCCTGGGTTCAGTTGACCTTGAAGATTAGACAGGCTTTGTGTTGTCCAAAAGGCTGCTTTTTTCCTTGAAATATCTTTTCTGTTCTCTCTATTGCTTCTCAAGAGAAACCTAGATTAATTTTCTGCTTTCACAGTCTATCAGAAATGCATGTTTTGAATCTGGTCATGTAATGCTTCTGCTGAAACTGTTCTAAAAGCTTTTTGCTATTTGAAATTTGAAGCTATGCAAGGCTGTCATGCTGAGACAATGGCTTCAATAGGGACTGCTATTTTCAGCAGCAGAGCACCCTTAAAGTGGAAGCAGTCTGAAGCCTTGAATCTAAAGTTTAAAACAGTCTGAATAAACATTAAAATGAGTTTGTTTATCTAACAGGCAACATTACCCTAAGCAAGGATTTCGATGGTACATGCTGATGTTTGTTATAATCTGACAGTAATATTTTTCCTTTAACTGAACTGAATCTGAGAGCACATTTACACAGATCATTTACAGGCAAAATGGAACAAGTACATTTA